TCTCTTGCCTCATCCTGAAAACCCCTGTGACCACAGTCACAGAGTGACACCTATCAACAAGGTTTATGAGAGAAATTGGTGCAACTATGCTGCCAAAACACCATCTTGGTCCTCATTCCAACCTGAGGTGGTTCCCCGAGAAGTATTCATTATCTGGAGAGATCAAGCTTGGCATGGCCATTCCATCCTGCCTCCTAGGAGGGCCATGCTCCCTTGGCCAGCTTGCTTCCCTCACCCCAAATTTCACCATAATTAAAGTTTGGAGGAAACAGAATCAATTGGCATGTCAAAAGAGCTAATATACAGAATTCAATAAAATTGTGATTCAAAAATTTATGACGGGGAGAAATCCAGGAGGGTTGTGGCTTCAGAATTATTACCTTGGGTAGCTGCAGCTAAAGCCCCCGGTGATATTTCTCACCTGGGGTGCTGGCTCAGCAAGCAGGCCAGCACGACATCAGCTGCTTTGAGCGATCTGCTAAAAGACAAAGAGATCACCAGGCACACAACCCTCCAAAATGGGGCAGCCATTGGCTTCCTCCTGCTAGCTCATGGATGAGAGGGCTTTGAGGAACTTTGTTGTTTTAATTTAACATCCCACAGCCGGTCCATCCAATCTAACATCGGGAAGCGTGAAGATTTAGTGAAGGAGATCAAAACGGAGAAAAAGACTGCAGACTAGATGGACAACTTTCACATTCTGCTGTTTAAATTAATTGTCTGAGTACATTTCATGGATTTTGGTGGTTTGGAAATAGTTTGGTGAGATTTTGTGAGCATTTCCTTCCTTGTGCATTTCAGTTCTATATTTTAGGAAATGTTTCATGTGCTTTCCTGTAGAAAGCAGGTGTTCTTGATTTGGCTGGATGTGCAGGGTGCAACTCCATCAAACTCACGCACCAATTATAGGAAATACTTCTGTTTCTATACTCTATTTTATATAGATATTCACTGATTTTCCTAGAATAAACATACATATGATAATCGTTTCCCCAAAATCATTAACATATTTTCTCTTCCCTTTCCGCACACATTCTTCAGTCCTCAGGGTCTCTTTGGTGGTCCCTGGCAGTNTCTTGCAGGACCCCAAAGCTGGGCCGGAAATGCCCCTGCAGGGATCTTGGGGGGGGTCCCACTTTGCGATCGCCCCGGACCGGCAGGGAGGAGGAGATACCGGGTTTGGGGATACCCGCAAGAGCCAGGGGGAACGGGGAGCCCCTGTTTTGTTTGCCCAATTATCCCATCATCAAAAAAAACCAAACAATATTAGAGGTAGCAGCAATTTTAATTGAATAGTTTAGAAAATATATAAAATTGGATACACTTGAAATACTGACAATATAATTTGATTAAAAGAAGGGATAATTTGGTTCCAGTAATAGCGCATAAGTAAAAGATAACCGCAGGGTACGGAGTGCAGGGTTCTGCACCCTTGCCACCTCACGTACAAGCTTGCCAAGTGAAGTTTCCCCCCTTATATGCCATGTGTCAATGCCATCTCCTCCCATTTTCCATTCATCACACTTCTACCTCCGCCCTCATCACCTTTACCGTGCATGCTCCACCACTCGTTTTGGTGGTCACACAAGTCTTTGGGGGTCGTTTTTGATGAAGACCTCTCCTCTTCTTCGATGTCCTTCAACTCACCCCTGGGTTACACATGTGCCCCAAGTCATACAATGTAAGCCAAAAGTAACATATTATTACATTTAAGTCTCAAAGCAATAAATCTCTTAGAGCTGGCTTTTTCCTGAGACCCAACCAGATTTTCCCTTCTTTCTCTTAATTTTTAGTAACTGTTATCTCTTGCTTTTTCCTGTCCCTGAACATTTGCAGGGAAGGGGGGGGATGTGGAACCGCTCCTCTCCCTTTCTTTCTTAGCATTACAACTTTTAACTGTTTTATTATTGTTTCCAAATATTAATTACTGTATCAATATTGATTACTGTTTCAATTTTGTGGGCACGAATCATGAGAGCGCAGAGGGGCGGTCCCGGAGCCGGGGGACAAACCGGCTGCCTGGAGGGGTGCGGGAGGCTGGGGATGAGCGGGCTCCGGGTCCCCGAGGCTGAAAGGGGCGCTGACTTCTCCAGCTGCACTTGGGCTGCGGGACCATCAAAGCCAACACACTCAACCTTGTTTTCCCCCTGTTATAAATGATCGACGAGAAAGCCAAATTTATAAATGGGAAAGATTTTATTTTCGCTACCAGAAATACGCTCCTCAAAAAGCCACAGTCAAAGAGAGCATCGAGCCCGGGGTTGGCTCTGGGTGAACCTGGACCCGACCTCTATCGCATCGGATCTCCTTCTGTTCACAAATGCCGTCCCCGAGGGGGCTGGTTTTTACAGTTTTTTCTGCCTGAGTCAGAGGTGTCCCGATTTCTTGTCACCCCGCATAAGTATGAAGTTTCTTTTTACTGTGCAGGGCTGGACAATTGCTATTTCTTGGGCGGTGGTGGGCACTGATAATGTCAGGAGAAGTCCTGTATTCAGAAGTATGTTTTTGACCACCTCGGTTATCTTGATTGATTATACTTATCAAGTACTGATCGTCCTTGGGTGTTCCCGGTGGTTCCAGGGGAAGCCCATCTTCGCACCAGCCAGGTTATTTCATTTGCTAAGGTGGCATTCTTTTCCTGCTGCCACCAGGAGTTTCACAAATTCAGTGAGGTAATCTGTCTCTAGGTTGTCCATGGTCAGAGGCTCCTGTGATGTTTAATTTATTTTCAATTGATTTTTATACATTTTCCCCCTACACATGAATTACTTTACATTACATATTACACCTCCACACCAGGATTTCCCATTCCCAAACCTTGGCCTGATGCAGGAGGAGGAGGAGGCTGCAAGGAAGATGTCCCGGGAGCTTAAAGCAGGTGAGGAGGAAGTCAGTGCCCCTTTCCCCCTCTCTCCTGCTCCATCTCCCAGCCCAGCACGACCCCCAGCTGCAGGACAACCCTGCGTCCTGCTGGGGATGCACTGGGGGGATTTTCTTGTCCTTCCCTGTGGCACGGAGGCAAATCCCATCCTCTCCTTGTCCTTCCTCCCCCAGAGCAGGAGCTGAGCATGGAGAGCAGGGAGGACAAATCCCCACACCAGAACCTCGTGGAAGAGGCTGTTTTGAGCGGCTCCACAGCACAAGAACCCAATGCGGAGGAAAAGCCCCAGAGACCCCACATGAGGAGGGGCTGCAAACGCCGATCATGGGGATCTGAGGAGGAAAGACCCACCCTGGACCGGGGAGGCGGCCGGAGCTCAGAGCTGGGAGTCCATGAGCAGGTTCAGGATGGGGAGAAGCCCCACAAGTGCTCAGAATGTGGGAAGAGCTTCAATTTCAGATCCAAGCTGATCCGCCACATGAGAATCCACGTTGGGGAAGGGCCCTACATATGTGGGGAGTGTGGGAAGAGCTTCAGGATGAACTCTGAACTGACCATCCACCAGAGAAACCACACCGGGGAACAGCTCTACGAGTGTGATAAATGCAGGAAGAGGTTTCGGAGCAGCTCCCGTCTCGTCAGGCATCAGCGGAGTCACACAGATGAGAGGCCCTTTTGCTGCCCCCATTGTGCAAAGAGCTTCAAGGACAAGTTTGTCCTCATCATCCACCTGCGCACCCACAGCGGGGAGAGGCCCTACGAGTGTGCTGAGTGTGGAAAGAGCTTCGCCCAGCACTCCACCCTGACTGCCCACCTGAGGACCCACACGGGGGAACGGCCCTACGAGTGTGCTGAGTGTGGGAAGGGCTTCAGGACGAACTCTGAACTGACCATCCACCAGCGAAGCCACACCGGGGAACGGCCCTATAAGTGTGAGGAGTGTGGGCAGAGCTTCCACAAGAGCTGCCACCTGACCCGGCACATGCGAATCCACACAGGGCTGAAACGGCCATACAAGCATGGGGAATGTAAGTGTGAGCAGTGTGGGAAGAGCTTGAGGTCGAGGTCTGAACTGATTGTCCACCAGCGGAGCCACACCGGGGAGAGGCCCTTCAAGTGTGAGGAGTGTGGGAAGAGCTTCATGTCAAAGTCCCACCTGGTTGGCCACCAGAAGATCCACACTGGGGAGAGGCCCTTCGAGTGCGATAAATGCAAGAAGACGTTTCCAATCAGCTCCAGTCTCATTCTGCACCAGCAGCTTCACACAGATGAGAGGCCCTTCCGCTGCCCTGACTGCGGGAAGGGCTTCACCCGCAACTGCAATCTCGTCACCCACCGGCGCATCCACACCAGGGAGAGGCCCTAAGAGTGTTCTGAGTGTGGCAAGAGCTTCTCAGAGAGGTCTGCCTTGAGCAGACACCAACAGAGCCACCACTAAGGGCAGCCCTGTGAGTGCCCCAAATGCAGGAACAGCTTCGTTCCCGTGACATCCTTTGTCTTCTGATTTTGGTCCTTTCCCCCCACTTTGATATTTTTCCCTCTGTTTTGGATCCTTTCCCCCTCTTTTGCATCCCTTCTCCCTATTTTGTGTCTTTTCCTCCCTATTTTGGATCCTTTCTCTGTCCTTTGGGTCCTTTCGCTGTTTTGGGTCACTTCTCCCTTATTTAGGGTCTGTTCCCCCCTATTTTGGATCCTTTCCCTATTTTCCATCCTTCCTCCCAATTATGGGCATCCTCCCCTTTGACTTTGGCAAATTTTTGGGTGCATCCCACCCTCCAACCCTCTCCCTACCCCTTAACCCCTCACCCCCTTCCCCTCAGGTGTGTCCTCAGTTGTGTCCCCAGCCGCCCCTCCACACCACATGGACTCAGTGCTCACCATCCTGGATGCCCTTGAGTCCCCAGCCCAGGACTGTGGATCTCCTTTTCCAGGAGTTCCAGAGCTGGCCTGGCTTCCAGGGGACACCAGTGACACTGGGGCTCGGGGTTGGTGACCTGGCAGGGTTGCTGGGATGGGGTTTGGGGTCATCTTGGCACTGACCGAGGGTCTTGTCCACTCTGTAGTGAGGAGTGGCCCTGGCCGGAGAGTATGGGATGGATGGGGCAGGAGAGGTTGGACCCTGGTCCAGATGGACACGAGACCATGGATCCCACTCTGGATGGACACTGGTCCAGATGGACACCAGACCATGGATCCCAGCTGGACACTGGTCTGAACAGCACCTGGCCCTGCAGCCCCCCAGCCTGGCCATACCCTGGACCACACTACTGTCCCACACCACTGTCCCACCAGCCCATCCCAGTAGCCCCCAACCCAAAATCTCCCAAAATAAACCCAATTCCAGAACATCAGCTCCACATGGTCCCTGCAGAGTGAGAGGGAAACTGAGGTGAGGGCTGGGGGATGACTTTGGGGTGATTGGAAGGGATTTGGGACCCACCCTGGAGACCCCAGAATGAGCACCCACCCCTCAGATTGTCACCACAGCATCCAAGTCCCCCCAGCTGTCACATCAGGGGGACTCGAGGAGCCGCTGTGACCCTGCAGTCCCTTTGAGAGGTGACCCATGGTGTCCCCTCGGTGTCACCGGTGTGTCCCCAGTGGGAGCCGCGGCATCACCTCCTGGCGCACAGGTGAAGGAGGAGGAGGTTGGGGTGGGGGAGTGCAGGGTCGCACAGCATCCTTGGGGGGGTGGAAGTGGTGAGGGAGACCCTGAAATGTGGTCAACCCCCCTCCTGTAGGATGTGGGTCACCCCTCTCTCTGTGGGGCACTGGTGGCAAACTGGTGGGTGACGGTGACAAAAAGAGCAAGTGCCACTTCTGGGATGTACCAGAAAGGGGGTCCTGTGGTGCCACCAATACCCTCCCCGCAGAGGGGATGACAAAGGGAGAATCAGAGGGGTCTCCAGGGTGTGGGGGAGGGAGGGGAAGATGCGACGGGGGCGCAAAAGAAACAACTCCAGTCCCACACGGGGGTGGCAGTGATAGTGGAGCCCTGGAAAAAGTTAAAGATAGAATCTAAAATGTTAAGCTTTGTGTTTTTCCAGATCAACTGCACCTGCATAAGCAGTATGATAAATGATATAATTGTTAGATGTGATGATTGTTTAGTAATTAAATATAATTTTTATATAACCATAAGAAAAATCATGAGAAACTATGTTGGAAATTTAAAGGGGGGCTATGCTTAGCTGAAATCTATGTATACAATAGAACGATATAAGTTTAATAATTAACATGAAAGTTGTATAATGATAGAGTATAAAAACATGATCATCTCAGATGTATGGTCGAAATCAGATTTGGGTAATACCCTGATTCCCAGAGCTCTTAAATAAAAAGCACCACATATAATCGCTCCGTGATTATGTGGTTTTCCCCCTGTCAGCCTGTCACCGTGTCACCCTGTCCCTGGCATGGGTGGGGACTGCGAGGGGCTGGCACGGGTCCCCACTGGCTGGGGACCCCCTAGATGGGCAGGAGAACCCAAAAAATTGGGACCCTTGGATTGGGCACCTCAAAAATTGGGACACCTAGATGGTTAGTTTTGGAACCCCAAATATTGGGGACCCCCAAGGCAGGGATGCCCACCCCACCATGCCCAAATCCAGCCCCTGGAGTCCCCAAAGTGACTACCCCCATCCCTACCCTCCCGCCCACAACCCCAAATCCAGCCCCAAAATTACTCCCTCCATCCCACCACGCCCAAATCCACCCCCAGGACCCCATAAAATTACTCTCCCCATCTCACCACCCTCAAATTCACCCCCAGAACCC